CAACATACAATGCAATGTAAAGTTAAGCAGGGCTGGGAAGGTAGAATAGATAAACATTTGACTGAATTGCAGTGATTCAGAATAGCGTTTGATTTACAAAAGTCTATTACTTTTTTCGGGGCCATAAAATTCCTTGAAGTGAATTTATTAACAAATAAATAAATAAATTGTATTTTGAAATAAAACTTTCATATATTATTACATCGATGGACCAGGATTAAAAAAGATATCTGATAACATATCTGAACAAGGATTTCAATAGACTCTTAATTTATTTTCTAAGGTCTATTTGAAAGTGGATTTTGAATACATTTTTTCAAGTGTTATCTGAAAGTGTATTAAAAAAAATATTTTTTGCAGGATAACGTGGATTTTTAATATTTTTAGGACTATTAAATTCCTCCACTTGAAATTTTAAGACAATTTTTTCAAGAACAATTAAAATTGTTTACATGGACTTAAAAAAATGTTTTCAAGTTTATCAGAGTTCTTAACTTGAATATGTTTAGCAAGGACCGTTAAATATCTTAATGGGATTTTTAAAATTACTCTTCTCAAGGGCTACAGCATATCTAAATGGGGATTTTTAAATTATTTGATAGAATGACTGAAGATATCTCTGAAGTGAGAATTTAAATTATGTCAGCTACTTTGTCAGCAAAAAGTCCACCTTTTTAGTACTCAAAATGTGTAATTTGACTAAAAGTACCAGATTTGGACTTTATCGGCTACTTCCTATACTTTATATGAAATATGTGCAAATTTTTGGAATATGTGGAAATATGCGTGAGATGCCAGATATAGCGGACCTGCGAAATCATAATCTCCATAGTCATATCAGATTTGGGGTTAAGAAAAATATTTAGATATAGCACGTTGTAAAGAATCGCCGAATTGTTTCGCAAGTTATGACAGATATAAGTATTGGAAATTGTGACCCTTCTTCACAACAGATCTTGCGTATATTTGGGTGTGTGAAATTTGAACATAGTTAGATGCTTATTTCGCTTTCTTTGAGCGTTTTGTTTTTAAAAATCTTGAACCCTATGTGGGGGAGGTACCAGGAGAAATGGTCCGATCTCTACCACCTTTATGACAGATCTTGCATTGATGGAAATATTGACATGTACCAAGTCTGAATAAAATCGAAGTCTAATTTCGCGTTTCAAGAGCTTAAGGAATATTCAAAATTTTGACCCGTTGTGGGGGAGGTACAAGAAGGAGAGAACCGATATATTCCATCTTCACACCATACATTGGGTTAATAAAAATATTGTAATGTGTGTAATTTGAAGACAATCAGATACTTATATCACATTTTATAAGAGTTATAATTACTCGAAATGTTGACCCTTTTTGGGGGAGGAATTTAATAGAGTGAACCGATATTGTCCATTTTCGCACCTGACCTTGCACTGATGCAAATATTAGGATTCGCAAAGTTGGGTTATCCTTTCTCTTTTTGTGCAGTAAATTATTTTCTTTGAAAATGTTGACATTTTTTGGGCGAGGTACCAGAAGGAGATGACCGATTTTGCCTATCTCCGAACTCGATCTAAATTTGACAATAATATTACGATGTACCAAGTTTGGATGAAATCAGATACTCCTTTCGAGACAGACGAACGGACGGACATCACTAGATCGACGCTAAATGTCCTGAAACAGATTTGGTCCAAAGATACCTAGGTTCTAATACCGTCATTTCGATGAGGCACGTTTTGGCCGTATCAAAGGATATATACCCTCTCTAGCCATATGACTGAGGGTTTAAAATGGATAACCTTTTACAACAAAAAGTCTTCATTTGTTTCTTTTTTTCATTTTTGTCTTAATATGTAACCTTCGGAACCAATAGTGACGTCAATATCAAATTTCAGAATTTCAGTTCTATCAAATTTACTTCACCCAATACCAAATTTAGTTAAATCTAGTACTTTTTGTACAAATATGGGTCGCTTTTCCAAAAACCACCTTCATATCTCAGTTCCAGATACCAACAGAGATTTACATATTTAGTACCATTTAGTACTTTTCGCGCAATTACAGGATGGGATAAAAAAACTGCAACAATGTCAAACGCCATAATTTTTACATTTTTTTTTAAATTTTATTGAATGAAAGCAAACAATGTCGGAAATAGCATTAAATTTTAGAATAAGTTTAGATTTGTTCGAATTGGTCACCTTTGGCACGAATTATGGCCAATGAAACCGTCACACGCTGCCCGAATGTTGCTCTGTGGTATTTTGGTCCATTCCCAGTAAAAAACCTTGCTTGAGGTGATCGACACTTTGGTATTTTCTAGTACCAACTTTGCTTTCGAAAATACTCCAAAATAGTCCAAACGGATTGGTATCCGGAGATTTTGGTGGCCATTGTGCACTAGAAATGAAGCGAGGAACCTGATTTTGTAACCAAATGTGGCGCGTGCTAAGTGCTGGAATGTCCAAGGTCTGCGGCCAATATGTTTAATACACCCTCCAGAATATTTTCGCGATAATATTCGGCATTTATTCTGATGCCACGGTCGATTAATACGAGCGGAGAGCGACCACCGGCTGCTATGATGGCCCTCACCATCACCATAGCCATGGCAGGCGCTTGAGTTCTGGGGGCTAACCGAAGGTGCACATTTTCAGCTGACCTCCTTATTATTTTGTTTGTTTACAAACTGCGGGACAACGAATGTTTTCTCATCGGGGAAAACCAAATTCGGCAGTTCACCACTTTTGGCCAAGCGAAGCAATTCTTTAGCTTTCTGTTGCGGTGTAAGTTCTTGCACTTTTTTAAACTTTACCACATTATACATTATGGAGGGTATATTAACTTTGTCATTCCATTTGTAACTCCTTGAAATACTCATGTCAGACCCAACAAAGTATATATTCTTGATCAACGTAAATTTCTAAGTCGATGTAGCGATGTTCGTCTGTCTGTTGTAAACACGCTATCTGTCGAACGAATTGAGATAGAAGGGTATAATTTTGCACACATGTTTATTTTGCCAGTAGGCAGGTTAAGTTCGTAAATGGGCCATGTAGGTCCACGTTTTCATATAGCCCCCATATAACGGTACCTCCCGATATTCGGTATTTTGATGATTTTAGCGAAATTATTTACCGGAATTGTTTCAAATTTGGTACTCGAAGTTCGAAATGGATACTACAGCCTGTGACAGAAAACTGTCAGTGCAGATCCACGTCTTCGTATAGCCCCCATATAACTGTACCTTCCGATGTTCGGTACTTTGTTTATTTTAGCGTCATTATTCAGCGGAATTCTTTCGAATTTGATATTTGAGGTTCATAGTGGATACTACAGCCTATGACAGACAATTAATTGTCTATGCAGGTCCACGTCTTCGTATAGCCCCAATATAACAGTACCTCCCGATATTCGGTATTTTGATGATTTTAGCGAAATTATTTACCGGAATTGTTTCAAATTTGGTACTCGAAGTTCAAAATGGATACTCCAACCTAAGACAGAAAATGGGCAATGTAGGTCTACGTCTTCGTATAGCCCCCATACAACTGTACCTCCCTATATTCGGTATTTTGATTATTTTAGCATCATTACTCACCGGAGTAGTTTCAAATTACGCTTTTAGAGTTCGTAATGGGAAATACAGTCTATGACAGAAAATTGCCTATGCTGATCCAGGTCTTCGTATAGGCCCCATACATCAGTACCTCCCTATATTCGGTATTTTGACGATTTTAGGTACAATACTCACTGAAATTGTTTGAAATGTCGTATTTGTAGTTCGTAATGGATGCTTTAGCCTGTGACAGAAAATTGTCTATACAGGTCCAGGTCTTCGTATAGCTCCGACATAACGGTACCTCCCTATATATTCGAATTTGAATATGGTAACCGCTTATGACAAGCAATGTGTATGTATTTTTAAGACTCTAACAGAATTCTTAAGAGATTTTATTTTTTGAAAATTTCCAAATTCGTTCCAAATGGTGGAGGGTCTTCAAAGTTCGTCCCAGCCGAACTTACATTACTTACTTACTTGCATTACAAAATTTTCCATTTTCGAAGTTTAGTACCATTTTAGAACTTTTAAGTTCGAATTTTCAAAAACCCTTTGGTACATCCATCAGTGACTCTCATTTCAAATTTCATAATTCTAGCTAATTCCATTTGTCCAATACAAAGTGTTCAATGTTTAGATAATTTTAGTAATTTTCGTACCCTTGTAGAACGAATTTCCAAAAAAGCTAGCCTTGTCACACGCATGTCCCTCGTGCACAACTTCAATATTCTAACTTCAGCTGTTTCGTCTGGGCGTTGATTCACAGTCAGTCGGTTATTTTACTACTCTTATATAGTTTATATCAAGTTTAGTACCATTTGCTACTTTTCAGCACCATTTAGTACGTACTACCTCCCCGACAAAAGTTCGTAGAAAAATGAAAAATTATGAAATATCATCAGAAGATCTCTGAGACGTCTTCTATAGCTTTCTATATAAGACCTCCTTGAGCCTATAAAATACTCATGTGCTATAAGTTTGTACCACCCAGGCACGCACATCTATCAGGTCATCACCAGGCCCCACCGCCCAACCTGACCTTCCACAATTAGAAATGTAAATATTAAATTTTTGTATTTAACTTACAAATCTCTTAACATTACGATTAATTTCTTATATTAAGGGAGTATATATGCTGAAGTGAAGTGAAGAGAGTATTTTTGCATCTCTTAAAAATTCCAAAAACAAAGAGAAAATGGCAAAACGAAGAGTAAAAAACACCCATCCCCTCCTCACATTAAAACTTTGTGCGCTTTTTGATGGGGGACTTTGTTGTGTTTGCTCCTGCTTGTTATTGTTGTTGTTGTTGTATTGTGTGCAGATTATTGTTGTTGTTGTTGTTGCTGCTGCTTGTTCCCCACTGTGCTGTGTGCTGTGCTGTGCTGTGATGAGTTCATAATTTGCCAAATACTGTTTCGAGCGGCAGAGACAAACACTTTGTTCGTCGCTTGTCGTTGCCAGAGAAGGACGTACGTACGGATATACGTTCGTAACGGGATTTTATTATTATTCTCTTCTTATTACACAAAGTAAAAAAAGAAAAAAAAAACAAGAAACAGAAAAAACACCAATAACAAAGAAAATCAAAAACACAACAAAATAAAAAAAATAACGAAAACAGATAAAAAAAACGAAAACACAAATGTTGAATTGAAGGGAGCAGCATTAATCAAGAAAAATACATAACAACAACAAAACGCAATAAATAAATAAATATAAAGCGAAACGACAAAAACGTGCTAATCATTTTACAGTAAACCGAAAATCGTCTTTTAAATAATGAATGAATTTATAACGAAAAAATAACAACAACAACAGATGTATAGCAAATAATTGTTCTTTCAAAAGTGTGTCGTCGTCTCATATTTTTTTATAATTTTTTTTTTAATAATTTATTTAAGTGTTTAATTTTTTTACGGTTAATTTGTGGTGTGTCAACGAAAACGAAAATGTGACGAAAATATAAATTGTGTAATTATTTATTTTATAATGAGAAAAAAATAAAATAAAATAAAATAAAATAAAATAAAATAAAAAAAGGATCTAAAAAAATTTCAAAGTGGTAATAATATTTACGGAAAAAATATTATAAAAAAAATATATAAAACAATTTTTAAAATATTTCTTATTCTTCTCCCTCTCCCAAAGAAAAAACCTTTTATGTATGGAAGAGCCATGAAAGATCTAGAAGGATAATGTAATGGAAATCCAAAGAAGGCCTTTTTACCTTTGGACCTCCAGAAGGTCTTTAGGCTAAGGGAAGACCTTTGTAGGGGTTTTATCTACAGAAGACCTCCAAAGGATCCTCTGTCTAAAAAAGATTTGTAAAAGTTCATCTGACGGGATTCTCTGCCTATAGAACACCTTTAAAAGAGCTGTAAAGTTTCTTCTTTCTATAGAAGACCAGTAAACTGCCTTCTTTCTATAGAATACCTTTATTCTGTCTAGTGAAGACTGAATCCTCCGATTCTCCGAAGACGGAAGACCTGTAAAAGGCATTCTTTCTATAGAAGACCTGTAGGAGGTCTTTGTTCTATAGAAGAATTGCGGAGGGTTTTCGTTCTATAAAAGAATTGCAGAGGGTTTTTGACAAGAAAATATCTTGAAAAGGTCTATCTTCAATAGAAGACATATGAAATCTCTTCTGTATAGAAAAAACCTGTAAAGGGTTTTCTGCCTATAGAAAACCTACAAAAGGCCTTCTATTTATAAAAGACCTATTATTGCAGAAGGGCTTCTTTCTATAGAAGGCCTATGGAAGGTCTTCTTTCCATAGAATACTTTTTAAAGGTCTTCTTTCTATAGAAGATCTGTAAAAGGTCTTCTTTCTATAGAAGATCTGTAAAAGGTCTTCTTGACTAGAGGATACCTCGGAAGGGTCTACCTTCCATAGAAGACCTATAAAATATCTTCAGTACAAAAAATTCTTGTAAAGAATCTTCTGCCTATGGCGTCTAAAGAGGACCGGTATAGGGTCTTCTGTCTAGAGAAAACCTGCTAAAATTCTTCATGACGAAAGTCTTCTTTCTATAGGAGACCTCTAGAAGGTCTTCTTTCTATAGAAGACCTGTAAAAGGTCCTTCTTCTGAAGAAGATCTAAATAAGGTCTTCTTTCGATAGAAGACCTGTATAAGGTATTTTTGTAGAGAAGACTGTAAAGGGTCTGCGGCCTATAGAAGACTTGTGGAAGATCTTCTATCCATAGAAGACCTGTAGGTATTTTGGCCTGTAGAAGGTTTTTTTTTCTACAGAAGACCTGTAAAAGATCTTATTTCCATAGAAGACCTGTAGAAGGTATTTTTTCTATAGAAGACCTGTAGAAGGTATTCTTTCAATAGAAGACCTTCATTGTAGAAGACCTGTAGAAGGTCTATAGAAGACCTGTAGAAGGTCTTCTTACTAAAGAATACCTCTGAAGCGTCTACCTTCAATAGAAGACCTATAAAATATCTTCTGTATAGAAAAGACCTATAAAGAGTCGTCTGCCCATGGAAGACCTACAAGAGGTTAAAAAATATTCATTAAAAGTCATCCGTCTAGAGAGGACCGGTATAGGGTCTTCTGTCTAGAGAAAACCTGTTAAAATTCTTCCGCCCAGAGAAGACCTGAAGAAGGTCTTCTTTCTATAGAAGACCTGAAAAAGATCTTCTTTCTATAGAAGACCTGAAGAAGGTCTTCTTTCTATGGAAGACCTAAAGAAGGTATTTTTTCCATAGAAGACCTGTAGAAGGCCTTTTTTCTATAGAAGACCTGTGGAAGGTCTTCTTTCCATAGAAGACCTGTGGAAGGTCTTCTTTCCATAGAAGTCCTGTGGAAGGTCTTCTTTATATAGAAGACCTGTGGAAGGTCTTCTTTCCATAGAAGACCTGAAGTAGGTCTTCTTTCCATAGAAGACCTGAAGAAGGTCTTCTTTCCATAGAAGACCTGTAGATCTTTTTTCTATAGAAGACCTGCAGAAGGTCTTCTTTCTATAGGAGACCTGAAGAAAGTCTTCTTTCCATAAAAGACCTGTAGAAGGTCTTTCCATAGAAGACCTGTAGAAGGCCTTTTTTCTATAGAAGACCTGTAGAGTGTCATCTTTCTATAGCACACCTGCAAAAGGTCTTCTGACTAGAGAAGACCCGTAAAATGTCTTCTTTCTATGGAAGACCTGTAAAAAGCCTTCTGAGAAGAGAAAACCTCGGAAGGGTCTACCTTCAATAGAAGACCTATAAAGAGTCTTCTGTCTATGGAAGACCTACAAGAGGTTAAAAAATACCCATTAAAGGTCTTCCGTCTAGAGAGGACCGGTATAGGGTCTTCTGTCTAGAGAAATCCTGTTAAAATTCTTCCATCCGGAGAAGACCTGAAGAAAGTCTTCTTTCCAGAGAAGACCTGAAGTAGGTCTTCTTTCCATAGAAGACCTGTAGGTCTTTTTTCTATAGAAGATCTGTAAAAAGGCTTCTTTTTATAGAAGACCTACAAAAGGTCTTCAGACTAGAGAGGACCCCTAAAATTTCTATAGAATACCTATTCTATCCATATAAGACCCGTAAAATATGTTCTTTCTATAGAAGACCTCTAGAGAAGGCCTCTGTAAGAAAAGAGAGGACCCATAAAGCTTCTATATAATACCTATAAGGGTTCTTCTGTCCATAGAAGACCCGTAAAATATATATTCTGCCTATAGAGAACCTCTAAAAGCTCCTTTGGCTACAGAAGGTATCTGGAAGATCTCCTGCAATAGAAAATCCTAAAAGTGGTCTTCTGTCCATAGAAGACCCGCTAAATATATTCTCTCTATAGAAGACCTCTAAAAGCTGCCTTGACTACGGAAGGCCTCTGGAAGACTTCCCGAAATGGAAAACCTAAAAAACGGTCTTCCGCCTATAGAAGACATGTAAAAGATTATCTGTTTAGAGAACACCTCTAGGAGGACTTCTGAGTAGAGTAAATCTTTAAGAGAAGACCAGTAAAAGGTATTCAATCTGTAGAGGACAGACCTTGAAAGTGTTTTTGGCATTTAAAAGTTCTTCCATCTGCAGAAAGAATTCGATAGAGAACCTTGAAAGGTTTTTTGTTTTGGCCTTTGAAATGCCTTACGTCTTTAGAAGATCCTTACAAGGATCTTCCGTCTAGAGTAAACCTGTAAGAGAAGACCAGTATAAGGTCTTTTTTCTGTAGAATATCTTAAAAGGCTTTTTGGCCATTGGAAGGTCTTCCCTCTTTAGAAGATCCTTCTAAGGATTTTTTTGAAGATCTTTAAAGGTCTTCATATAAGTTTTATTTTATTGGATCTGCATTTTTCCTTAATTTCCCTCTCCATAAATCTTTAATCTAAAAACTTTTGAACCTTTCACAAAAGTCCGCCCCCGGGAAGCCATCTAAAACCCAACTGCTTTTGAGGTGCCCCTTCCTTACAGCCGCAATACCGCAAATGACGAAAACATTCAAGTAGACATCAAAAGAAAGTGACAACAAATACTTGGATATCTGAGGTGAGGAGCGGGGGCTACTGAGAACTGAGGAGAATATAACTTTTCATAACCTTTAAACCCACACCTATAGCTGTTGTCAAAAGGATATTTAATTTCTACCCAATAATGTAATTCAAAGTACGTGGTAGGATTTCAATTGTAATACATACACATACACTCCCACACGCACACACACACGTACTCGCCTTACAATTTTACTCTGCCATAGAAATTCGTTTGTAACAACTTTTACGCTAGGGTCGACAAAGGACATACAGAATTCAATGAACGACAACAATGGCAACAGCAACGACAGTTTTACACTACTACTGTGAGGTAACACACGCACACACACACACACCTTTCGACTTTATAATCCTTTGATGCAGAAAGGGCTATTTGGGAGAGCTGTGTATATAGGTGGGTATGTGGGTGTGTGTGTGAGAGAAATACCATGAGAAAGATAGGGAAAGTAATACCATGAGAAAAGTCAGAAAGTCAGGCCTGGAAATTGTTCAACCTTAAGTCGATTTTTAATCCTTAAAAAAAGCAAAAAAGATATCAAAGACCCACATGGTTTTGAAGCATTCTAGTGGGGGAGGTATGCACATTTTCTAGACATTCCACAGCTCTACTGTGGACAGAAGAAGATGAAAAAATGGAAGAGATTCCACAGATCTAATACAGATAGAATACCATTTACAGGCTTTCAATAGTTGAAGGACCTCCTACAGTATTGTGCAGATGGAAATCCCCTCACAGGCCATAAAACATTTGAGAGATTTTCTGTAGATACAAGACATTCTATAGACTTAATACCTTCAGGCAGGTCTACGTGGATAAAGACCTGTTATCAGTCTTCTATATAGAGAAGAATTGCAGTTGGAAAATCATCCTTGGATAAAGAGACTCCAATAGGCTTTCCGCACATATAAAACATTCCACAACCCTTCTTTGCACAGAAGGCCTCCCAAGAGTTTCTTGTGCATGAATACCTCCTATAGATCTTCCGAGGACAGTAGACTTTCATTCACAGGACTTTTATGCGTCGAAGAAATTCCACAGGAATTCTATGATTGAAAGTCCTTTTAATAGATCTTCTATAGATAAAATATCGTCCACAGGATTCGGTTAGGAAAGGACCTGGTCTTGTAAGGGCAAAAAAAACCTTCCACGGTTCTAAGGACAAAAAAAAATCTTCCACACCCTCAACAAGTCTACGATCAGCAGTTCTTCTGGTTTTCCAAAGGTCTTTTGTAAAGAAAAGATCTTCCGAGGACAGTAGACATTCATTCACAAGACTTTTAGGCATCGAAGAAATTCCGCAGAACTTTCCTTTAATAGATCTACTTTAGATAAAATAACGTTCACAGGACTCGGTTAAGAAAGGATCTGGTCTTCTAAGGGCACAAAAAAAACCTTCCACGGTTCTAAGGACAAAAAAATCTTCCACACCCCCAATAAGTCTATGATCAGCAGTTCTTCCGGTTTTCCAAAGGTTTTCTGTAAAGAAAAGGCCGCACACAGCTGTTCTACGGAAAGCGGACTAAATTCCAACCGAATATCCTTAAAATGCCTTGTATGTCGAAGATAATACCCAGGTCTTCTGAAGATAGAAAAAACTCCAACTCCATAGAATAGAACACAACCTAACAGATCTTCTATAGCATTAGAATTGTCTCATTTCTTTTACAGACAAAATTCCTTTCAGAGTACTTCTGAAATTGAAGTGCCTCCCACAAAAAAGTGCCTCTATGACAAAGAAATCCTCCAAAGTTCTCCTATACGAAAGATTATCCCAAGTTCTTATATTTTAGAAAAGCCTCCTGAGTTCTTTCATATTTAGAAACATTTCCAAAGATTATAGAATTCCCAGACCTAGATCTCCACAAGCTCAACTAGCCCTATGACTAGTCTTCTTGACCACCAAAAACTCCCCCCAGTTATAAAAAGGCCTGGAAAAGGTATTCTAACCACAGAAGACCTGGAAAAGTTTTTCCAGCCATAGCAGTCTTCGAAAAGCTTCCCCCCACCCAGTCATAGAAGACCTGCAAAAGTTCTTCCAGCCATAGTAGACCCTCAAAAGCTATTCAACCCATAAATTAACTGCTCTGGGGAAGAAGATAAAGGTGCTCCAGCCCTAAAAAAGAATTTCTGTAGGCAGATCAAAGATTTTCTGGCTTTCTGTTGCTACAAGCTTTGAAGCTTTTAAGGGGACTTCTATGGCTTGAAGAGCTTTTAGTTTTTGTATTGCTAGTAAGCGTTTTGGTCTGAGGGAGAAGAAAAACGTATTCCAGACCTAAAAAAAAACGTTTTTTTTTCGGCAGTTCAAAGATTTTCTAGCCTTCTTTTACAACGAGTTTTGAAGCTTTTGGCTAGAGGCTAGAGGAGGTATTAAATACCTTTTGATATCCGAGGCATCCCTTGAGGGTTTTCAAGGTCTTCTATGGCTAGCAAGCTTTTTGGAGGTATACTTCTATTGTCAAGAAGTCCTTTCAAAGACCAAAAGACCTTTAAAGAGACTTTTAGGGCAAAAAGAACGTTTTTCAAGAACCTTTAAAAGGTGTTCTACAGCCAAAAGCTCTTTATACGTTCCACTGTGGCTGAAAGGCCTCCATGACTAGAATACCTACGGGGAGTCTTTTAGACCTACTTATATTGCTAAAAGAACCTATGAAGGTCAACAGGACCTGTAGAAGGTATTTTTTAAGTCTCCAAGAGCTTTCAAATGTCTCCCGATGCCAGAAGACTTTTTCTATGACTTTAACACCTTATAACGGTCCTTAATGTCTAAAAGTCCTCTTCAGGCTTTTCTACGCCCAGTTGGTGATCCCTCAAAGGGATAAAGCTAGAAAGAGGCTTTAAGATCCTTTGAAGGTCAACAAGACCATAAGAAGTTTTTTTTTAATGACTCGTAGAGCTTTCGAATGTCTTCCGATACCTAAAGACTTTTTATACGGTTTCTATAACTGTAACATCTTATAGCTGCCGTTTATATATAAAAGTCCTCTTCAGGCTCTTCTGTGCCCAGGTGCTGACCCCTTGAGGGGCTTCTAAAACTAGGAAACGTATTTAAAGCTATTTATGCCTTAAAGACCCTTTGAAGGACTTCCTGAAGAAGTCCTTTTTATTTATTTATTTTTTTTTTTGTTATATAGATTTTCTAAGTCATCTTCTACGCCCAGCTGGTGATCCCTCAAAGGAACAAAGCTAGAAAAAGGCTTTATGATCCTTTGAAGGTCAACAAGACCATTAGAGGGTATTTTTTTATGTCTCGTAGAGCTTTAAAATTTCTTCAATTGCCAGAAGGATTTTTATACATTTTCTGTGACAACAACACCTCATAACGGCCGTTTATATATAAAAGTCCTCTTCAAGTTTTTCTGTGCCCAGGTAGTGTCCCCTTGAAGGGCTAGTGTCTTAAAGACCCTTTGAAAGTCTTCCTGAAGTAGTCCTTTTTTATGTTTTTGTTATATAAATTTTCTAGGTCATTTATATGTAGAAAAGCGCTTGAGGCTACTGCATACCTTGAGGACTCTTAGGAAGACTTTCACAGCTAGAGAAGTCTTTTCGAAGTTCATCTATGGCTATAAAAAACTTAAGAAGGTCCTGTCGAGAAAAAAACAAGCAAGCGTCGCATTTGTTCAAAAGACTCTATGAGGGTCTTAGGTGGGATAGCCTGAAGCCTGAAAGACTCTTTCAAGGATTTTCACAGCTAAAGAAGTATTTTCGAAGTTCACCTATGGCTATAATAACTTAAAAAGTTCATCTATGGCTAAGAAAACTTTGGAAAAAAAAATCAAGCGTCGCATTTGTTCAAAAGTCTCTATGAGGGTCTTAGCTGGGATATTGCAAGCCTGGAAAGTTCCTTTTGAAGGATTTTCACAGCTAAAGAAGTCTTTTCGAAGTTCACCCATGGCTAGTAAAACTTAAAAAGTTCATCTATGGCTAAGAAAACTTTGGAAAAAAAATCAAGCATCGCATTTGTTCAAAAGACTCTATGAGGGTCTTAGCTGGGATATTACAAGCCAGAAAAGCCCTCTTTAAAGAACTTTCACAGCTAAAGAAGTCTTTTCGAAGTTCACCTATGGCTAGAAAAACTTAAGAAGGTCATGCGGGCATAATAGGTTTTTTTTACTGCATTTGTTCAAAATACTCTATGAGGGTCTTAGGTGCCTGAAGGACCCTTTAAAGTGGTGTACATCTTGAGGGCATTTTGAAGATTTTTTATGGCTAAAAATACCTTTAAACTGTCTTCAGTGGCCCCCATGTTCCCAGCATGAAAGTAATTTTCTGTAAAAAGAACAGATTCAAAAATGTATTCTAAGGACAGTTACAATGGCCTTTTGAGGGCCTTCTACCAAAAAAAAGGCCTGCCCTTTTGCTATGGATGGTAATCCTCCCCAGGTTTCCTATAGAGAAGATCCTCTGAAGGTATTTTATTTTCAGAAAAAAATCCAAAGCTCTTCCATGTTAAGCAAATTTTCTATTTTCCTCCCCAGACCCCTATAGAGAAGATTCTCGGAAGGTATTTTATTTTCAGAAAAAATTCCAAAGCTCTTTCATATTTTGCTTTTAAATTTCCAACCCTGCAAGAGAAAACCATTTTCAAGAGATTTATTATCTCCTTTCGACTCCAAGAGAGGCAGAGGGAGAGAGAGAGTTATGAGAATTATGTTGCTAAAAATAATCACAATTTTCTCCCACCTCAGAGAAAAGTGCACGCGCAAAATTCTTTCAATGAAATTCGAGTGAACGGAAATAAATAACAAGGATAGCAAAGAGAATGTGAACAAATAATACAAAGAGAAAGAGAGCCAAAAAGAGGTTAAAAACCATATCCTTTGACCATCTCACACAACGGCAGACAAATGTGATAATTAAGGATATAACCAAAAGCAAAAAAAAAACACAAACAAACGAATATAACCCGAAAAAGGATGCCTTTTGGCAACAACAAGAGCTAAAATAAGCCATTTTCACACAAAGCCAGCCAACAAAAGGATCCCACAACCCAAACATATCATTAACACTGGAAAAGGATACATATAGATTTTTTTTATATTACACAAATACACACACTCACACAAATACCCCAGTCCCAGAAAAGTTGGCCTAAATAGGGAGCCACCAAAAAAAAAAAAAAAAAAAACACAGCAAATGTCCTTTGGGTCTGGGAACCAAGAAAAAGCAAACCACCAGTCAAGGGGGATCCTTGGAGTTAAGGAATTTTGTGAATGGGAAATTTATGTGGAGAGCAAAACTAAAACCAAAAGCTAAGGGTCCTTTAAGTATTCTGCCTAATATAGTGGTGGTCCTATCACAACAACCCCCAGGGACAAGCAGATTTTGAACCGACAAATTTTGAGGAAACACAAACAAAGACTTTTGTTTCTCTGGCAGGACTCCTGGAAACTATAAAAGCCAATAGCATCAACAAGGATTGCCGTTCCATTGTTGGCCTCAAGGACACATCAACGTCAAATCTTGTCCCCCCCGCCACCACCAACTAATCATCAGCCAGCCAACGGAATGTATGCCCCAATAGAGCAACGATATCGGCCACATCATCATCAGAAACAGCAGCAAAGGACAAACGAACGACTTTATTATGGCTTAAAGTGGCAAGCGAAACCATAGACAACAACAGAGCCACAAGGAATTCCTAAAAAAAAGGAGGAGGAGAAAGGGAAAATGCCAACGTCATCATCACAATTCCAAAACCAATGAGGCGAAACGTATAGGACGAGAAAAAAACAGCAACCAAACAAAAGGAGGATAAAGGAAAGCTCCAAACCAACCACCGCCACACACACACACCCACTTGCGGAGCAACAAACAAGTCCTTGACAGGAACAAGAGAAGAAAAAAAAAACAAAACAAGGAAAAGGCAGGAATAACAGAAAAGGAGCCACTGTTGCTTTTTAATAGCAAAGATACTCCCCCACACACACACACATCTCCACCACCTCCTTCCCCTTCCCCTCTCATGATGCTGAGAGGGATACATTAAAAAGCAGAGATGATTCTTAATTGAATGGGGACTTTCGTTTTTCATATTTTGCCACACGAGGAAGAGGAAGCACGCCAACAGCCACAACAACAAAGCCAAGAAAATCAGCAGGACATAAGAACAAAACAACAAAAATAAAATCCTTATTTTCTCCCCCCCACCAAACTCCAGCTCCTTCAATGAGCAACAATAACAACAACAAGAGATTATAATCTTCAGCAAATATTTCTCAAGGAGCAGCAGCGGATTCCTGCTCAACAGCCAAGCAACCCAAAGTCTTGGGGATTTCTTTTTTCAAAGGCCACCCCCCACCTCACTCAGCAGGTTGATTTATTGAAGGCATACACTTTAGATATATTTACATATATATTGAGATATATAAGTATATATACGAACACATACACCCGAACCCGCACACACACACATATTTTTTAATTGGAATATAGCAGTGAACACAAGGAGCAGCAGCCGGCCAGCCAGCCAGTAAAAAAAAGGAAATATGGCCAGACGCAAAGGAAGCGGAAGAGGAAGTAAGTAAAAGCTCATGTTTTTATGTGTCCTTTTTTTTGTTTTGTTTTTCTTAATTTTTCTTCTTTACACTTATTATTCTCACCAGCCTGAGTGGGGGGGGAGATTAAATTGAGATTTATATTAAGGATTAAGAGCAGAGGTGTAGGGTGTGTAAATTTTTGTGGAGAGGGAGTGGCTCTCCTTTGGGTGATCCTACGATTCAAATTGTTCATATTTTTTAATTTGTAAAAATTACCGTAGCGAAGACACAAACCACTTGTATTTTATGCTGACCTCAAATAAAAGGAGAACTAGGAGTACTTTAAAAATATAAAAACCTTATTATACCCTCAGCCATATGGCTACAGGGGGTATATATTCTTTGCTACGGCCAAAACGTGTCTCATCGAAATAACGAACCAAATCCGTTTCAGGGCATTTTTAGCCATAGAACACCTGAGAAACGTCTCCTAGTCATAGCAGACCTTAAAAAGCTACCCCAACCTATAGAAGTCCCACAAAAGACCGTTTAAAAATATTCCAACTTCCAGCAACTTCCTACTCACAGGAGACCTCCAAAAGCTCTTCTGGTCATAGAAGACTTAAAAAAGCCCCCCTAGTTTTAAAACAACGATATAAGGTCCATAGAAGGTCCACAAAATGTCTTCTAGTTGCAGGATACTTTAAAAAAACTTCCCATAGTCATTAAAGTTTAGATAAACCGTTTTGTCAATGGAATACCGCAAAAGATCTTCCAGCCATGGCAGACCTCCAAAAGCTAATCCATACATAAAATACCTGCAAAGGTTAAAAAAGCCCCCCTAGCTATGGAGGACCTATAAGCTCCTATCCTAACCACAAAAGACCGGTAAAAAACATTCCAACTATAGCAGACCTTCAAAAGCTCTCCTACTCATAGCTCAAAAGCTCTCCAAAAGCTCTTCTGTTCATTGAAGGCTTAAAAGCTCCCCTAGCCTTAAAACACCGATAAATGTTTTGCAGCCATAGCAGACCTTCAAAATCACTGCTAGCTATAGCAGATTTCTAAAAGCTCTTAGCCATCTTCCAGCCATAGCACGCCTCTTCAAGCTCGCCAATTTAGAGAAGGCATATAAGAGGTCATCTAGGCTGCCATCGCAGACCTTCACAAACTCCATTAGCCATATAAGACCTGCCGTAAACAAATCTACAAAAAGTGTTCCAGCTATAAAAAAACCTAAAGAGATCTTCCAGTCATACTAGACCTCCAACAGCTCTCCCACTTATAAAGGAATTGTTTCCGAAGGAAAAGAAAAAGATTTTGCATTTATGGAAGATCAGAAGAAAAAGATCTTCTGGTTGACCTCTTAAAGCTCAACTATTCATAAAAGACCTACAAGACTTCTTCTAGACGTCTTCTAGTCCTCGACTGGAAAAAGATGTCATAGTAAACCTCCATAAGCTGAAAAGACCTAAAGAAGGTCTTCTATCATAGCAGACCACCAAAAACTCCACCAGTCTGGACTGGACTGGAAAAAGGTGTTATAGCAAAACTCCGTTAGCTCAGAAGACCTGAAGAAGGTCTTCTATCATAGCAGAGCACCAACCACTCCACCAGCCATAAAAAGGCCATAAAAGAGAAGACATGGAAAAGATAGTTCAGTCTTCGAAAGGCTCTCCTAGTCATAGAAGACCTGCAAAAGTTATAGCAGACCTAAATTTGTTCCATAAAAAAAAACTAGGGGAGACGAAAAAGTTGTTCCTTCCGACCTAAAAAAAAAAGATATATAAGGGTGGATCAAAAATCTTCAAGCCATTTGAGACTTCCATAAGCTCAACTAGACATAAAATACCTAAAGAAGGTCTACTTGTAATAGCAGAACACCAAAAAAATCTCCCCGCCATAAAAAGACCGGAACCTTGTATTACATCTAGCTTTTAAGCTTTTGAGGGCATTATATGGCTAGAAGAGCTTTTAAAGATTTGTACTGTCCGAGCCATCCTCTCAAGCTTTTCAAGGCCTTCTATGGATAGCAAGCTCTTTGAAGGTATACTATTCCTTCTACACGAGAAGTCCTTTCAAACGCCAGAAGACCCTGTAGAAGTGAACTAGTACTAAAAAAAGCTTTTCAAGATAGCTTATGCCTAGAAAACCTTTATAAGGTCGTCTACGGATAAGAAGCTCTTTTTACGTTCCACAGTGGCTTGAAGGCCTACCGAAGATCTTCAGTGAGTAGAAGATCTACTGGAGGTCTTCTAGACCTAGTCCTATTAATCCTAGAAGACCCATTGAAGATGAACAAGGTCTATGGAAGGTCTTCCATGACTAGAAGACCTACTGGAGATCCCCTAGACCTACACCAATTGCTAAAAGATACTTTCAAGATCTACAAGACCTTTCGGAGGTATTTATTGCCAGAAGATTTTTTCTCCTACTGCCGGAGTAATCCTTTTGAATCTCTTCTTAGTTCGTTTTCTAGGTCATCTATGTGTAGGAGAACAGCTGGGAGTATTGGAATCCTTTTGAATTTCTTCTTTAATCGTTTTCTAGGCCATCTATGTCTAGAAGACCGTTTGATGGTCTTGTATGCCTCGAAGACTTCTTGAGAACCTTACATTGTAGGAAAGGTCTCTTCGGAGTTTATTTATGGCTAGAAGAACCACGGAACATCATGTAATGATCTTTTAACGGCTGTCCCTGTTCACCTTTTATTGGCCTTTCGAAGATCTTCCACGTTTACCCTGCCCATTAGAGTTACGTCAATCTTGTTTATAGTTCAGTACACCAGTTCCTAAACGTATGAGTGATTTCATATATTTCATATTACTCATACGCAGATTTTTCCATAAAATATCATAAAAAGACTGGAGTCTGTTGCCCTTGGAAGACCTTGAGGTCGAAATTTGGCAATCGAAGACCTTTAGAGCTTCTTTTTAATATTTAAATAGTCCTTTAAAAGTCTTTAGGTCATTGAAGAGCATTAATAGGTATTTTAGCCATAAAAAAGCTCCATAAGTTCTTTAGGCTGTGGAAGACCGTTCAATGGTATTAGAGTTTTGCCAATGATGTTCGATCGAATAAACTAGTGCCTTGGCACAACTCTAATGTCAATTAAAGGTTTTCTTCGACCTGAGAGTCTTCTGAGGCTCTTTTATGGCTAAAATACCTTTGAACGGCCTGTAATGACCAAAATACTTTTGAAGGTCCATAAAAGAACTGCTTTTTAGGGAGAATAAAATCTACAGAAGACCTAAGAAAACTTTCTGTGTGCAGATCACAATCTTTCAGCCTTCCTCGCAACTTATTCTGACGCTTATGAGGGTCTTTCATGGTCTACTGAAATATTAAATAGAAGACCTTACTAGACTACTGCTCGTAGGTTTTCCATAGGCAATAAAAAGTATGAAGGTCTTATATAGCCAAAAGAAGACCTCAAACTCTTTCATGGCAAATAAAAGCTATCAAAGACTTCAATAGCCAATGGAAGGCCTCAGGGTCAATTGTAACAATAGAAGTTTTTCTGTAGAAAAAGTCTAGTCATTCTAAAAAAAATCTACTCTTTCTGCAAAACAAAAATTGTTGAAGAAATTTGGGCCCAAAAAGACCTTCAAACGAGCATCAAGTCTTCCCAAGACTTTTGATAGAAGAAGACAGTCTCTGAATTCTGTGATTTGTAAAGAAAATACTTTCAGAATTTCAGTTTTCCATAGAATTACTTTATAAGGTATCCTTTAGAAAATAATTTAAATTAATTACCTAGTCTTCACCCACACCAAAAAAACGCAAAATCTCCAAGCTATTGAAATGGGAATCCCCATACTTACAAACAATACCACAGCCAAACCCCAAGCATATTCACAATACATTTATATACACACATTTATCTATTGTCATTTGTTTTCATCAAACCATAGAGTGGAAAATTTACGGGAAAATCTCCAATAAAAAGAGGGAGACGAGCACGAGGGAAATACAAGTGAAATAAAATAAAAACAAAAAAAAGACATGGGAAAAGAAAAATGAACCAATGAAAAAGTTCACAGGCACACAAAAAAGGATTCACTTGAAAGCAAAACTGGCTGCCAGGATGACTGATGGGTGGTGAAGTGAAACAAAAAAAAACAAACACACACATACCAATATTCTTAAGTAAGTTCACACACATGTACTCACATCCTGTGCCTTAAAATTATATTTACACATACATATTAAAGATATATGTATGTGCATATATCCCTACGAAAAGAAAACCTACAAGACCGAAGTGAAAATACTTTTTAAGTGGGGAGGTATCAAAAGAAGGCGGCATAAATATAAGCCAAACCAACAAAAAAAGCACAGTGCTTGTGCTTCATATATCTCGTTGAAGGCATTCAACAATAGTCGACCATTTCTATAGAAAAATCGCAGGACCCCAGGACTGATTTTTTTTCTATAGAAAAAATCGCAGGACTGATTTTTTTCTATAGAAAAAAAAATTGCAGGACCACAGGACTGATTTTTTTTCTATAGAAAAAATCGCAGGACTGATTTTTTTCTATAGAAAAAAAATTGCTGGACCACAGGACTGATTTTTTTTCTATAGAAAAAAAATTGAAGGACCACAGGACTGATTTTTTTTATAGAAAAAAAAAAATTGCAGGACCCCAGAAAAAAATTTGCAGGACCGCAGGACTGATTTTTTTCTATAGAAAAAAATTTGCAGGACCGCAGGACTGATTTTTTTCTATAGAAAAAAAATTGCAGGACCGCAGGACTGATTTTTTTCTATAGAAAAAAAATTGCAGGACCGCAGGACTGATTTTTTTCTATAGAAAAAAAATCGCAGGGCCACAGGACTGATTTTGTTTATAGAAAAAAAATTGCAGGGCCACAGGACTGATTTATTTTCTATTGGAAATTGGAGGACCACAGGACTGATTTTTTTCTATAGAAAAAAATTGGAGGACCACAAGACTGATTTTTTCTATAGAAAAAATTGGAGGACCGCATGGCTGTTTTTTTTCTATAGAAAAAAATTGCAGGACCACAGGACTGATT